AAAAAATCCCGGTCTAGGTAGGGTTAAAACATGAGATTTGTGGGGAAAACGATAGCATTTATGTTAGCGGTGCCTGCGGTCCAACTATTCACTAGAGAGTGCAACTTGGCAATTGAAAAAGCCATAAGAACGGGGGACTATCAGGATAGTCTGGTATCTCCGCAAAGAAATTGAGTATCAGGCCTTCGTGGATGGGTGGGACGACGACTGAGGGAGGGAGGAAAAGCACATGGTAGTTTCCATTGCTTTGGATGCTTTAAAGTCCAAGTGGGGAGGGGTGATACACACGGCTAGCACGGAACCCACAGAGGTGGGGCATACGAGTCTCCACAGCGAAAGGTCATACGGGATTCTTTATTTTATTTTTTATTCGAACAAATGGTCAGCATGACAGCAGTACATAAAATTATGGACTGCTGAATTGTGCGGATTTAAAATATACATAGAAATACAATGTAGGGACGAACAAAACATACAGATTTACGACACAAACATAATACATATACAACACCTTACAAGAATTCGGAGATTTCATACCTCCATGAAATATCTGAGTTTTTGTAAATGCTTTTTAATTTGTCTCATTCACTATGTAAATAAGGTCGTAAGTAGCATAATCTAGTTTAATTTATGGTTTTCTAAATTCAAAGGACAATATGTATCATGTATTCCTCTCCTTTGTCATTAATTATGAAAATGAACTCTACATTAACATAATGTATGCATATAGTGGTGTTAACCTTTAAGGAACTTACACATTTCACAAGGTATAAAATTACCATCATTCACCAATAACAAGTCACAGAATTTTCTCATTAATTATGTGAATTAGGTCATCATTTGCATAATTGGTATCTGTTGATGTTCCGCCTGCCACAGATTAAATAGATTACATGTATAACAGTACTAATATATAAAACACTGTAATTATAGAATTTCCCCCTTGATTATGCAAATTAAGGGCTCATTAGCAAAATTTGTATATAATTATGTACAACTCTCTCTCAGCTATCTACATACCAAAAATTATGAAAAGTAAGTTGTTCCTATCTGGACTTATAAGCTTTTAAAGAATTCGCCAGAAAGTTCCCTGCAGTTCGCGAACTAGCTGCTAGGGGGACAAAACCCACACCACTTAATCCTGACAGAAAACGCTATCTGCCACCTAAATAATCAAATGAAGACTTAATTTGCATAAATAATGAGGAAATTCTATAATTACAGTGTTTTACATTATAGTACTTTTATACATGTAATATATGTAATGTATGGCAGATAGAACTTCAATAGATACCAAACATACAAATGGTGACCTAATTTGCATAACAAATGCCAAAAATTTTTATGATTTCTTAATGTTAAATGATGGCAATTCTATACCTTGTGACATACCTTGTGTAGGTTACTTAAATGTTAAGAACACTATGCATATATTTTTTTTACTATATACGTAATTTGCATGATTAATGGGAAAATGTTTAAATCAAATTTTGCCAAAAGATAGGAGTGTGACACGCAAAATATTATAAGTTGAGTTTTGAACACCATAAATTCAACTAAAGCATATTAATTGCCACATTATTTCCATATTCAATGAAACAAATCATTTATAATTTAGGTCACAATTCAAGAAAGGGGCCCGCTCGGCGCGTGTTCGGCCTGTTTTTGGCACTACCGAACGGGACCTGGACGGAGACCGGCGGGCTTCCCGACGGCTGCCGGCCTACTTTCGGCCCCGCGCGGTCGCCGAATCGATTTTAACTCAGAGTTAAAATCACTTCGGGCCCCGTTCGGCAAGGTACGCCGAAGCGACGCCGTAACCTCACTGCCCGGGACCCATCGGGCGGCCGAACAGGCACCTGCCTAAGATTATGACGTCACATGTGCTGATAAGTGCATAAGGTGCTAAGGAAAATTGGGTTTAATGGGGCATATGTAAACTCCTTGTTCAGACTACGTCGCACAGTTGACCACGCGTGTGTTACGCCGTGCACTTGTGTGTGTTACACCGTATACTTGTGTGTCAGAATGCCAATATACAATGGAAAATAGCCAAGAGATAGCCCGGCATACATGTACTTCAGGAATGAACAGTGATATTGTGTTGCATGTGGGCTACCCTGAAGGGAAACTTCAAGGATCGGTAGCTGTTCCCGGTCGCCAGGAATCGTAGGGTAATGGCGAGTTTTAGGCCTGCTGGCAAGGGCTGTCTGGCACTGGATAGAATTAAGAAAAGACAGCAGTGTTACATACAGACTGGACTGTAATATCTAAATTTGCTGTTTTTATAAAACATTATGGATACGTTGAAATGTGTCAAGAAGTAGAGGGCATTCACCAAAAAAGCACTTGCCTACACGTTGTAGGGGGTCGTGAAACATCTATTCAAAGTCGGCGCAAGCTCGGCGTCATGACGCCGGCTGGCGTCTACGCCGAGGACATGCCGAACGGGCGCCGTTTCAAATGTGACCTAAGCATTACATAAATTCTACATATTTCATGGAGGTATGATGTCTTTTTTTGTTAAATACGTTATAATTTTTATTGCAATGGCCAATTTAGACAATATTATTTTATGATTACACCATTTAATTTTACTTTTCCATTTTCTAAAAATTTGGTTGTTATACGATACGTAATTTAGGAGTCACAAATGGCGATCCTTAAAAGAATCCCCTGCCTTATTAACAAGTCCGGATTGATACCTCTCTGTCTGAGCAGCCAATCCAGTAATCCGCACGCGCCTCATCTAATGCCATAACTACTACCAGGCTCTGCTGTCTGGAACTTTTCACATGTGCAAGATGTCCGCCATATGACACACAAGTCGCCTGGGCTTGGTCGAAATTACGGTTGGTTCGTACCGCCCTGTAGCGGTAACCGCTCAGGTCTCGAATCAAATCCCCATAGCCTACAAAACAAAATTTTAGCCCATATTTAATACACAAACACACACACACACACACACATGTCAACATTAGTAAGCTGGGATATTAAAGTCTTGAAGCGTTGGGTTTCATAAATGAATTTTTCAGCTCTATGTATTTATGCAAAATACCCTCAAAATTTAAAATGCCACGCCTTTTGATCTAAACATTGCAGGGTATGCTATGGCATTCATTGCAGGGTATGCTATGTAACTGCGTGTTGCATAAAGCGAAGGTAAAAATAATCTTTTTTAAACAAAATAAACAAAGTTCCCTTTTATCTATATAGGAACTAGAGTTCCACGATCTCATACCTTCGCCAAATGATGTTAACTTTATGACTAACGAATTATATATTTTTTATCCCCTTGATTATACAAAAATGATCCTTATTTGCATTATTCATGAAAATGAATCATGAAACAAAAAAGTCTTATCTTAACAAAAACGCCATTGTAGAATTTATTCATATATTATGCAAATGCAGTCCTTATTTGAATAAGTTATATTTAATTAGGACCGATTCTTTTCCTCATTTTTATCAATGATCTAGATCAGGGAATATGTTCCAATCTTTTAAAATTTGCGGATGACACAAAAGTATGGCATGAGATTAGAAATGAGGGGGATAGAGAGACTTTGCAACAGGATATCAAAATAGCATGTAAATGGGAAAAAGAGTGGCAAATGCAGTACAATGTTAGTAAGTGTTGTATACTCCACCTTAGGAATACAAATCCAAAGTACGAGTACTACATGAATGGACAGTTGTTAGACGAATCCGCTGAAGAAAAAGATTTGGGAATCTATGTCTGTAATTCATTGAAGCCTTCACTTCATGTGGCATGCGCAGTGAAAAAAGCCAACCGAATGTTGGGATTGATTAAGAGGAATATAAACAACAAATCGGTGGAAGTTGTCACCAGACTGTACAAACAAATGGTGAGGCCACACCTGGAGTATTGCGTACAGGTGTGGTCCCCATGGCTACAAAAGGATATAGACCGTTTGGAAGCGGTGCAAAGAAGGGCAAGTAGACTCATCCCCAGCTTACGGGGCTTGACATATATAAACAACGGCTGAGAAAAATGAAATTGACAACTCTGGCTGTAAGGCGCTTCCGTGGGGATATGTTAGAAGTCTTCAAGATTCTCAAGGGAAAGGAAGGAATTCGCATGGAGGATCTATTCACACTAGCAAGTAACCCCTATGCCACAAGGGGCCATCATCTCAAATTGGAATTGCCACTTTCTAAGTTGAATATCAGGAAAAAATTCTTCAGTGTCAGAGTGATCCAGGAATGGAACAAGTTACCACCGGAGACGGTGAATCAGACGTCAGTAAACAGATTTTAAGAGTAGCATCGACGAATACATACGGAAAAAGATGACCATAGGAGCTACTAAGGGCTACCCGCCTTCTGGCTCCTGATTTGCAGAGACGTAGTCTCTGCAGTTCAGGTAAAAGTTCAGGTAATGGTGTTCACCTTCACTTACCTTTTAATCCCCCAAGTACGGAATTCAGGTACTTACCATTGTTGAATTATGACATTTTCCATTAATTATGCAAATTCAGTGTCAGTTTACATGCTTTTAAATTAAAATTTCCGCCTATGTTTCTCTCGTTCTCAATTACACATGCCACAAGCTTAAATATTCCTTTTTATGTAATGCAGCTGATTTCAAGAACATCCTAATAGACTATGCAAATTACATAAATATTGCATGATTTTTGCATATTTACCTCCATGAAAAATGGCGTGTCTGTGTGTCCGTGTGTATATGTGTGTGTGTCTGTGTGTGTTTGTGTTTCCGCACATTTGTAGTCAGCATAACTTCATAACGCCTTTATGGATTTGGATGATATTTCGTATGCTGGTAAGTCTTGGAAAGACGAGGGTCAAGGTCAAATATGGGCCTCCTGGTGTATGACCTTGATACTGCAGCAGAACTTCCGGTTTTTATTTTGTCCTGAACATGCTATGGTCTTAACTTTTTGGTCACAGATAGCTTTTCCTGTCAAGAATAAGTGTTGTGGGTTTCGAACTGCAGGGGATTCTCAGAATTTTGACAAAATTTTTAAAAGCCAATAAGTCCAGATAGGAACAAGGTATTTTTTTATCATTTTTGATACGTATGTAGCTAAAAGAGAGAGTTATACAAAATTAAATCCAATGTATGCAAAGTTGGACTCAATTTGTATAATTGAGATCGAAATTCGGGTTTGGTCCCCCTAGCAGCTTGTTCTAGAACTGCAGGGTACTTTCTGGCGAAATCTGTAAAAGCCATTAAATCCAGAAAGGAACAACGTATTTTCATCATTTTTGGTGTGTAGGTAGCTGAGAAAAAGATGTACATATTGCAAATTATGTAAATAAGGACTTAATGAGCATAATTAAGGAGGGAATTCTATAATTACATTATTTTACATAATAGTTCTTTTATACATGTTATCTATTTAATCTGCGGCAGGCGGAACATCAACAGATGCCAATTTACGCAAATTATGACCTACTTTGCATAATTAATTTGAAAATTCTGTGACTCCTTATTGGTGAATAATAGGAATTTTATACCACATGACATGTGCGTTACTTAAAGGTTAAACACCACTATGCAGATATTATGTTAATGTAGAGGTCATTTATATAATTAATGAGGACATGTTGAAATGAAGTATGACAAAGAAAGCCCATATTTCATGGAGGTATGAGATCTCCTCGGAACTCTTGTTATGTCAAGCATCACTTAAGTTACCTACATAACTATATAACAAAAATCACGACAATCCGCCAACCGGTCTTGAGTTATCCTCTTTCAAATATTTTTTAACAAACGCTTCTGCAGTTCCAAAGCAAGCTGCTAGGGGGCTCAAGTCCCATTATTCAGATTTCAGATACAATAACCGTAAGTTTAGCTGCAGTACTAAAAAAGCCGCTAGGGGTCCAAAATCTATTAATGTTTAAGGTCTCATGAAGACCTACCGACCTACGAAATATCAAGTCAATTTATTTCAAGTCTTTTCAAGTTATTGTGTTTACACTCGGACACACACACACACACGCACGCGCGCACACACACACACACGAAAACATAACCATCTTTGTGAATGTAAATGCATCTTTAGTCCTAAGAAGTTAAAAAGGCAAGCAATATGTCCATGCGTTTTAACATCATTTAAAAAAATGATGCAGTGCGGTTACATACCTTGTTCTGCCAAGAGTATCACCATCGTCACCCAGATAACAAGGGTTGACGTCATGGTTTGTTGACGCCCAATGAACTTTTGTAAAGTACTTTTAGATATCTGTAACAGAAGAGTATGCAACGCTCATAAGTATTAAAAAAAGAAGTTGATCTAATTAGCAAATAAGTGCTGACTTTTTTTTTAGAAAAAGGGAATACAATTGATGACATAATAAAGTAAACAAACAACTGTTGAAACTTCACACAATGCTAGTTCTGTTTGAAATTAACTATATACCGGTGTATGTGAATGTGAATTATAGCTCACTTCCACGGTGGTCAAATTTGGGCTACAAAGTTCCTAGCTTTCCTAGAATTCGATTGTGTTCGATCGTGTTCGATCTGGGCAATTCGAATCGAACCCGCGTTCCATTTGGGGGTCACCTACGTTGATTTACCGGGAAAACAAGCCCTACGCCTCCGTGCCTCACAACACATTAAAAACAAAACACTTTTCTATAGATATAAACCGTTTCCTGGACTGTGAATGTAGGCTATTAGTTTGTGGATATGTTACATGTAGCGAAAACATTGACGTATCCGTGAGTGACCCTGAATACTGTTCAGTAATGATTCTTTATGAACACCATTATGAATAACACAATATGCAATGGACACTTTTGGTCGACATGACATGTCTTCAAAACTCGATTAATTCTGAAACAATATTGGAGAGTCAAACATACCTCATTGACGACTCAAAATAACTGTAACGGTTGTTGGGAAAATAAAGTTGTAGAGATTTTTTTTTAAATGGCTTCAATTTTAAGTAATGGGTAATTATTGAGAAAAACACAATTTGTTCACAGATATGTCGACAAAAACCTAACTTAAAAGAGGGAGCAGGTGTCAACTGTGAGCAGGCGTCAAGTAACCAGGATGGTACCCAGGCTACCTTTCTTATTCACGCTATGGAAAGCTTGTATAATGAAATGAGCAGCACCATCTTCAAAAAATGAGGGCTGTCTTATTCTTCCTCTAAAAGAGGGGTATACGGCAAGGCTGTCCCATATCTTCTCTTTATCCTCACTGTAAATATGTAAATGCGTCTGTTAAAATAAGATATGCCCAGGCATAGAGTGAATTTAAGTTAAAACTGATCCAGGTAATGGGGCAGAAATTTAAAAAAGCTCATAAGTAGCTAATGGCACTACCCCATTAGTCTACGATGACATATCCATGGGAAATGCTCCTAGACATATACAGAATTAAGTAAATTAAGTAAATACGAAGGTTAATAGATTGAAACATGCATAGATAGACAACACTTTTGTTCTGAAAAGTTGTATCTTTTTCTGTAAAAAGAATGGCCCAGGCATGTTTATAATTCGTCAGTGATAAATGTTAACATCAATCAACGGCGAAGGTATGGCATCGAGAAACTCCAGTTGGGAATCGTATAGGCCCCATACCTTGCCAAGCAATGCACCTCAGTACCCTCATACATTTAACTTCAAATATTTGATGGTAAGTAAGTCAAAACGAGGAACTTCTGCAAATTCCTAAATAGTATAATACTACAAACACAAGCTGAAATGAATTTGATATGTTCCAAGTAAGACAGCCGTCTCTCCTCAGAGAGGCACACATGTAGTTGTTCAGTTATTGTTAGGCACAATGTTAAACACAATTTTAATGGGAAAATACTCCTTATGCTTCATGTCTATATATGTCCACGTCTCCCTGGCCTTTGCCAGCATTATGTAGAATTAGGAAATTACGTATACATTCGTAAATGCTTCAGATAAATAGGTGTAGCACCAGTGTATCAGAAGCCTGTTGTGTTAAGTACTGTAGCGTACGAAAACCCTTGCATGCATGGATTATCTAAATGAACTTATTTATAAAAAAATTTACAAAGGCTCCAAATCTTTCAAAGAGATCGATACGAAGTCTCTAAACATATGTTTTAGGACATCCTTCTCGTTTTTATGAATTACCAAACCAAAGTTCACACATAATTAACACACATTGCAAGGTAATAGTGTCTTTTATATAGCAATGCGAGATCCATGCTGTTAAATAATAATGAAATCCCCCCGCTGAAGATGGACTGCGACTTATTTTTGAATCGATAATTATATACATACTAACTTCCAAAAACTTGAAATAGAGACAATGTAAATTAAAAAAAAACTACTTTACTTAAGTTGCAACATACAAGCGCCAAACTTACGTAATGGATCCAGTAAAAAGTCCATTAATGTACAAAAATATAGTACCTATTCTTACCTACCTGTAGAGTTACTGATGACTGTGTCCCTGTGTGACCAAGCATGATGTCGCACTTATTGATATTTATGTACATCTAGTTTAAAATACACTCGCAAAGGTTACTGCTTTCTATATTGTACGTAGGATGTACCTTGTGTAAACATTGATAGATGTCCTTGATTCATCGGATCATGTGCACTAATGCCACATCAAGTAACAAGAGTTCTGAGATATCATAACTCCATGAAATATGGGCTTGCTTTGTCATACTTCATTTCAACAGGTTTATTATGCAAATTATGTCATCATTTGCATAATTGGTATCTGTTGATGTTCCGCCTGCCACAGATTGAATAGATTACATGTATAAAAGAGCTATTTTATAAAACACTATAATTATAGCATTTCCTCCTTAATTATGCAAATTAAGTCCTCATTTGCATAATTTCCATTCAAGTATGTAAAACTCTCTCTTAGCTACCTACACATCAAAAATAATGAAAATACGTTATTCCTATCTGGACTTATTGGCTTTAAAATGTTTTGCCTAAAAGTCCCCTGCAGTTCATGAACAAGCTGCTAGGGGGACCAAACCCACACCACTTATTCCTGACAAGATAAGCTATCTGTCACCAAAAAGTCAAGACCATAGCATGTTCAGGACAAAAGATACAAAACCGGAAGTTCCGCTGAAGAACCAAAGGACATCCACCAGGAGGCCCATATTTTACCTTGACCTTTGTCTTCCTAAGACTTATCAGCACACAAAATATCATCACAATCCATAAAGGCGTTGTGAAGTTATGCTGACTACAAATGTGCGGAAACACAAACACACACACAGACACACACACAGACAGACAGATATACACACACACACACACACAGACACGCCAAAAGCAATACCTCCATTTTTAATGGAGGTAATCACGGCGGTCAATTCCTAGGGTAAAATTTCCAATTCTACGGAGGGGTATCAGGTTACCGGGGTTCCACGCGCGGCTTCCGCGGAGCCAGTCTCAACGGTAAACTTTTTGTTAAGCAATATTTTCAAGGGGACTCTCTTGTCCAAATGTGATAAAATCGGCTCTGCATATACCTAAAATGATGTTGTTTTGATTACAGTGCTTAAATTGGTATGAAATCACTCTCAGCGGTTCGACTGCTTATTCTAGGACAACTGACGTTAGAAAAAAAGGTTGGAATATTTGGGCTTATATTTGACCATCGTGAATTTTTATGGATGGCATCAGCGCGCGCCTTGATTTTCGCCTAATTTTGGAATAAAAACACAAGAAACTCTCTTGACAGTGGTCAACATGCCGAAAATGGACAAAATAACATGCCTTGTCACGATGAAACGTGCAGATAAACACGAAGACAGGAGACAAGACAGGGCTTTGATTTATTGTTTAAACTTGACTTTGATGCTGTGATGTTTATTTTTTGTATATGTTCCCACTGAATCAAAACCATTTGTGCAATGATTGAAACGTTCTCTATTTCAGGGACAAATGGATGTTGCGATAGTTGGCAGTAAAGTTAGCACAATATAGGCATTATTTCTTGTTTAACAGTGTTTATGATGTCAAAATTTGAAAATATAGGAATCTTTTTTTTTAGCCCTGTCGCATTAGATTTGGATCTGCGGAAGATGTCATCCATAAAATTTACTTGCTGTGGCCTAAATACTGGTTCTACAAATGTGCGTTCTTACAGTTAAAATACTACAAACATTCATTGATTTAAAGCTCTGTACCATTTGTTGTGAAGACTAATGTTATTCTATATTTTAGTCCATACCATATTATCTTTTTATCGTTTAAATGTATTGGTTTCCCGCATTTTCCTTCTCCTCTTTTCCCTACTATCACTTTAAGTCGAATCAATTTTTTCAGTTTTTTGCCAAATGGTAAGGAATTCGGCATTAGGTCGGAGTGGCAAAATACTTCCAACCGTTTTATTGTAATCTTTTTAATACTGGCTTTTAAACTGTTTTATCATTTTTTACACTCTGGGCTGCACTTGTTTTTAAGGATTGTGTCACGAGGAGTTACGACAGCTGGAACTACTCAGCTGGGTTCGCTCCCACAACCTGGCAAGAAGGTCAGTATTGAGTGAGACGATGTTTAATTTGTTAGGACAAAATGCGCTATTTTTAACTGCATGGCAGCAGTTTGTTTGAAAATAACATTTTGTTTTTCAATAGGGCAAGCCTGGGGTTGTTTTGAATGGGCAAATTATGCAAACATGTTTTTCAGAAAGATAGATATACTAAATGTTACATACTTTTATTAACTATAGATATGGCAGCCTTTGTGTACAGATATCTATGTGATCCTATGTAGGATGATGGTCCATTTGGGGGTCACACACGGTCATTTATCGGCAAAACAAGCCTCTCCACCTCACAACACATTAAAAAAAAAACTTTTTTTTGCTAAAGATACAGACCGTTTAATGGACAGTACATGTACAGTATTAGTTTTGTGGGCATGTAACATGTAGCGAAAACATTCACGTATCTGTGGGTGACCTTGAATACTGAATTGATTATGAATAACACAATGCACACTTTGGTCGACATGACATGTCTTCAAAACTCGCTCAAACCTGGAAAATGGTCAAACATACCTCATCGACGGCTCAAAATGACTGTAAAGGTTGTCCCAAAAATAGAGTTGTAGGGACTTTTGAAAAATGGCCTCTATTTTTAATAATGGGTAATTGAGTGCGAAAAATGCATTTTTTTCACAAATATGTCGACAAAACTAGACGTAAAATCGGTAGCGACTGTGGAATCCGTATTGGACGTAAACTAACCAGGATGGTACCCAGGCTACCTTTTTTTTTTATTCACGCTATGGAAAGCTTGTATAATGAAATGAGCAGCACCATCTATGATAAATGATGGCTGTCTTATTTCTTCCCTCCGAAAGAAAGGTATACGGCAAGGCTGTCCCATATCAAATCCTCTCTTTATCGTCACTGTAAATATTATCATATTAAGACTTAAAAATATGTCTTAAAAATAGTCAACCTATTGAATTTAAAGACCTAGGACTAAAAATTCTGGAATATCAGAAACAATCCCAAATTGCATCTTGGGTACAAAGACTAGCAACAAATTACAATGCCAGATGGAAAACAATTGCTTAAACATACATATTTTTAAAGTAAAATGTTGTTCCAGCACAAAACCTTTTGTTCAGAAAACTTGTATCTTTTTCTGCAAAAAAAATTACCCGGACATGTTTAAGGTGACAGTCCATAATTCGTCAGTGATGAATGTTAATATCAATCAACGGCGAAGGCATGGCATCGTGGAACTCTAGCTAGTTGGGAATCATATAGCTAGTTGGGAATCATATTGCCAAACAATGCACCTCAGTACCCTTATCTTTACATATTTGATGGTAAATAAATCAAAACGAGGAACTCCTGCAAATTCCTAAATAGTATAATACTACAAACACAAGCTGAAATGAATTTGATAGGTTCCAAGTAAGACAGCCGTCTCTTCTCAGAGAGGCACACATGTAGTTGTTCAGTTATTGTTGGGCACAATGGTAAACACAACTTTACTGGGGAAATACTCCGTATGCTTCACGTCTATTTCCACGTCTCCCTGGCCTTTGTCAGCATAATATGGTCTCAGGAAACTAAATACATGCTTCAGAGAAATAGATAAAGCACCTGTGTATCAGAAGTCTGTTGTGTTGTGTACTGTAGCTAGCGTACATAAAACCTTGCACGTATTATCGAAATGAACTTATTTGTTTAAAATGTACGAAGCTATAAATCTTTTATAGGGATACGAGGTCTCTAAACATATGGTTTAGTACAGTATACTCCTTTTTATGAATAAGTAAACTGAAGTTTACACATAATTAACACACATTGCGAAGCAATTGTTTTGTTAATTATATAGCGATGTAAGATCCATGCTGTTAAATCCCCCGCTGAACATGGACAGCGACTTATGTGTGAATCGATAATTATATGAATTCTTACTTCCAAAAACTTAAAATAGAGGCAAAAAAATGATTGATATGAGTTGCAACATACAAGCGCCAAAGTTACGTATTGGAGTAAAACGTACATTAATGTACAAAAATATATAATACTCCTATTCTTACCTACCTGTAGTGTTTCTGAATACTGTGTCCCTGTGTGACCAAGGCTGATGTCGCACTTATTTATATGCAAGCATATATGTATGTACATTTAGTTAAAAATACACACGCAAACGTTATTGCTTCCTACGTAGGATGTAGCTTGTGTTTACATTAATAGATGACCTTGATTCATCGGATCGCGTGCACTAGGGCCACAGCAAGTAATTTTATGGATGGCATCAGCGCGAGCATTGATTTTCGCATGATTTTGAAAAAAAAAAAACCTTTGTTGTCAGTGGTCAACATGCCAAAAATTGACAAAATGGCATGCCTTGAACGTGTACGGCAGATAAACATGAATAGAGAAGACAAGACAAGGCTCTGATTTATTGTTTTGACTTGTACTAAATGCAGAGATGTATTTCATTCTTCATTCTTGTCCCCACTGAATAAAAACCATGTGTGCAATGATTGAACTGTTTTCTTTTTCAATGTTGTTTCAGTGACAAATGGATGCTGTGATAATTGGTAGTAAAGTTAGCACAATAAGTATCATTCCTTTTTTAACAGGATCTATGATGTCATATAGGAACCTTGTTTTTTTGGCCCGTTTTTTTCGCCCTCTCGCACTAGATTTGGAGTCTGCGGAAGATGTCATCCATGAAATTTACTTCCTGTGGCCTAAATACTGATTCTACAAATGTACGTTCTTACAGTTAAAATACTCCAAACATCCATTGATTTAAAGCTCCGTACCATTTGTAGTGAAGACTAATGTTATTCTATATTTTAGTCCATACCATATTATCTTTGGTATCGATAAAATGTTTCCCTCATTATCCTTCTCCTCTTTTCCCCGCTATCACTTTAAACCGAATCAATTTATTCAGTCTTTTTGCCAAATGGTAAGAAATTTGGCATTAGGTCGGAGTGGCAAAATACTTTGAAATCCGTTTTATTGTAATCTTTTTAATCCTGGATTTTAAACTGTTTTATCATTTTTTATACTCTGTTATATCTAACGTGTTATCTCTTTTTTATTGCACTTGTTTGTAAGGATTGTGTCATGAGGAGTTACGACAGCGGGAACTACTCAGCTGGGTTCGCTCCCACAACCTGGCAAGAAGGTCAGTATTGAGTGAGACGATGTTTAATTTGTTAGGACAAAATGTGCTATTTTTAACTGCATGGCAGCAGTTTGTTTGAAAATAACATTTTGTTTTTCAATAGGGTAAGTCTGGGGTTGTTTCAAAAGGGCAAATTATGCAAAGATGTTTTTAAGAAAGGTGAATATACTAAATGTTACATACTTTTATTAATCATTTTCAATATTGCTGACAAAGAGACGTTGTGTAAATTTAATTCCTAGATGAACGTATTTAAGTAGGTAAAAACCATATCTTCGCCGTTTGTTATTTTTTCTTTAGTAAAGTGTTTTGTCTTGGACTTTTTTGAATTTTTTTCGACGCCTTGTGTTCTTTCTTCTTTTTTTTTCAGATCTTTATTGAATATAACTCAATACAACGAACAACAATACATGGCATAATATCAAGAGTGTACCGAACGTATATCGAGCATAATAGGGCTTAAATTTCATAATCATTAGTCTTACAGGTAAAATTAACGACAAAATGATTACATCATGCTGGGAACTTACTAATTGTACAACGTATTAACTTTTACAATCAGTCTTGTTGGAAATGAAGATACTGTACATACACTACAAACTAATATTGTGTACGTCTTGTTTCAAGGATGTAAATATATGTAAATATATGTGATATCTATGTTGATGTCCAGTTCAGAGAGAAGGTGTCTGGAAAGATTAAAATCTTTCCCCAATAATCCTTCAACCGTATGTCTTTCCTTTGTATTTTGTTTTCTGAAAAAAGCAGACTAATTTGTGTGGGTCATGATGTCAAAAGTCAACCATAACCTTTTAGACGACGCTGCGGGGAGTTTTTACCAGTTGTGTTTGTATTGATGACAGGAAAACAGCGTATAATACGCCTGCACAAGAGTCAGCTGCGCATGCGGCCGTCTAATTCTGAAATGTAAGATGTTAGTACCATTAAGAAATTGTTTCAATTCATTTCATTGGTAGGGGATGCAACAGAGCATGGCAAGCGGTAGCCAGGCAGCAGCAAGGCCGGTAGCGGCTTTGTGGCCTAAGTCTTTCAATGCAAGAATTCGCAGCTATAATATGTTTTATGTAAAGTGATATGTAATGGAGCCTGATCCAAGATGGCGGCGAAAGACTGACGTTAGGCGCCAAGCTCCCTTTTTTGTACATCTTCCACATCTAAACTGCATTTTTACGCTGTGTACTCCACGCTAACTGTACCGAATCTTCTGTGGTGTCTTGCTGTCCTTTTTGGCTGGATGGAAAAGCGAAATAGGACCTCTGGAAGCAGCGCGAGTGCCGATGAATCCAGCCCCACTCAGCGGAACCCCCTCCTACGAAAACACCTAAGATGGCGTCCAACGAAAAAACTGCAACTGTGAGTTTGTCTTCGCTCCCTCCAGAACTTCAAAATCTTGCCAGTGTTATTTTAGAACAAACCAAAAAACAACAAGAAGCTGTTGGAGATAGGCATTCGAGCCAAATTCAGTGTTTGGATGTAAGAGTAGATGGCCTGTCTAGTGAGGTCAACGTACTACGTGAACGTGTACGGGAGTTAGAGAAGACGGCCGAGTTCTACTCTGGCGAGTTGGACACTCTCCGCGATGCTTTACGCGAGGAACAGAGAGAGAGGGTGAGGGCAGTCTTATTGACCGAAAGATACTCTATGAAGCCGGATGTGATCGTTAGAGGTTTGCCCTTCAACAAGGAGGAAGACTCTGCGCGGGTCCTGTCACGTTTCCTGGCGGAGGAGATACACTTACCGGCCGCGGACGCTATGCCGACCGCCGCAGTGCATCGAATATCCAGCCCGACTACCTCGCGTCCCAACCCACCCCTGCTCGCACGCTTTGTCAACTTCCAGGACCGCGATAAAGTCTTATCTGCTGGGCGCAGGCTAAGGGGGAACTCTCGTGGGTTAGCAGTTTATGAACACCTCCCCCTCCCTTACAGACAGCGCGCTCGCAGCTTGTAAATGAAAGAAACGCTGAACTTGCTAAAGACAACATTATATTAAGGTATCTAACCCTGTACCTGCCAAGGATACCTACGCTGTATTGCTTGTCAACAGAAAGAAAAAGAGAAGAATTGATGCCGTTGACATTGTTCTGTCAAAAAGAGATGTGTGATTGGTCTCTGATAGATTTTCTTTGACTTTGAGTCCGTTATGAATGTGATACTACAAACTTTAGACTGTTATCAAACTGCACCAGGATATTATAAGAATACTAAGTATGTGTTTTTTATATGTTTCAAATTTGTATTCTCTGGCAGTGTTATTGTCGACAAACTTTTTGTATATATTTCTGGTACTCTGTAATGAATGGTGAATGTGCACCACCTGTGGCATTAAATTTCGCTGTCTGAAAAAAAATGACATGTTGGTGGAACTGTACGTTGGTTGGATGTTAATTTAAATGAACATATTAATATATTAAAGTAATCAGTACAATCTTAAACGGCTGTAAATGTATTAATAAACGGATGTCTTATATTATCAACACCCAGGTAATACACGTGCACCTTGCATGCAATACACAGGTACCTCAACTTATCTAAGATGGGGTTTTAGGCGATACACTGTACAGGTAATACGAAAACGGACCCTAATTATAACAAAATAACATTGAAAAATTATGTAACAACGTGCATTTTTAACATCAAAATGCGATGTAAAAAACTTCGTGGGTAATGCTCCAACCTTTATTCCGGATGGTGCAAAATCTCAGTTTAGATAAGGGGTAAAATACATGATTAAAGACTTTAATTATTTTACTGGGTAAACTCTTTATCTTTCGCTCTAGGCGATATAAAAGTCTACACTCGGTTGGGTTAAGGCAGCCTATGGCCAACTATGATTAGTATTTCATACATATGGCTGTAACTTTTGATAGCTTGGTCGCACCACAACTAAACTTCACACAGTTCTAGTAGTACTTGAAACACACTGAATAAAGGTAAGTTTGTTTTTACTACTTCTGAATTTTTGGGTTAAAAATCAACATTTTGGTTTAAAAAAGCTGTTTACTTCATGGCTGTACGCGCAAGCGGTAACAACACCTTTCATCATGATATTTTACAAGTAGAAAGCCAACCCCCTATTTATTATTTTTGTCCGAGGCTATTTTGTTTTAAATGACAGTTACATTGTTTTTTGGGCCAAAAACGACAGAAACAGCTATTTTTCTGTCATTTTTCGTAAAAAAATCGCCACAGTTAAAAAATTTCGACTTATATGCAAAATAGCCTCGGACAATTTTGATAAAAAAGTGATAATACGTAAACATGGATTACTCTAAGGATGAATTATGTTGTTTTCAGCTGCGCGTAAAGCCGTTTAAGTCATACTCCGTGAATAAAATGCGTAACAACGCGGGTTTACAGGGGAAACATACAAATGACCGCCGGTAACCCCGAATTCGAACACGCGTTCTATTCGAATGACGTCATATCGAACATGGTGGAACATGATTCGGGTTCGAAACATGTATGTGGCAACCGTGCAGACACACGTCCGAACTCGAACATGAATATCAGCCTAGGCCGCCTTAACCCAACCGAGCATTTTCAGTCCTTTAAAAAATCAGTATACTTTTACCAAAAGACAGAGTTTCTTATTGCATCTCGGAGAGGGAAGCTGGAGAAGCATCGGGGTATGTGGGGAACTTTATGTTCAGATTAATTTTTCATTTTGGCCGTGTTATGCATATTTAACTTGTTTTGCCTCATTTTACATAAGTTATTTTTGGTTCTTACTTTTAGTCAACCATAACAGAACGTGTCTTTTATGTAATTTTTTGTTACCCATGTTCTCTTTGTATTTGTACTGTTTCATATTTCTTGAATAAGATTCTTGAAAAAAAAAGGGGTAAAATACATGATTTGTCCTTGGGGCTAAACCCTGGAGATTTAGACCCGGAGAATATCAGGGGGTGCGATGTGTGGGTGTGTGTGTGTGGTGGGGGGGGGGGGTAAATCTCAAGCGATTTTGCCCATCGAGGGACCAAACCGCTAGTGAGCCCTCATAACAGGATAATAAACAATTAGGAACAATTAACAATGCCGATTTTATACAGCTTAATATTTATAATTAATCAAATCAAAGAACAGGGGATGTAAGATCTATGGTTTTCCACCATATTTACTATATGCATGGGCACTGGTCTCCGTTAGGGATCACTCTGGAATATATGTGGAGAGAGCCAATACAAGTTGTGTTTGCTCTATGGAGAGAATGTCCGTGTATGTGTGGATTCCTGGTTAAAGGAAGATACCTAGTTAAAATAGATTTAGGAGAACAATAGCTACTTAACGGCTTTTTCACGTATTTACCTTCTAGTACCAGACAGTCAGCTTGGTTTATCAACAACTAGAGTTCCACGATCTCATACCTTCGCCAAATGATGTTAGCCTTTATGAGTAAGAAATTATAGATTAATCCCCCTGATTGTGCAAAAAGGATCCTATATTTGCATCAATTATATCTGTTGATCATATTCTAAACCAGAAGACAGTCTTATCTTATCAAAGAATGCCATTATAGCATTTCCTTATAAATTATACAAACGAGGTCCTTATTTGAATAAGTTATGTTTAATTATGTTCACCTTCACATAACTTTCAAATATCCCAAGTATGAAATTCCAGGCAGTTACCACTATGTAAATATAACATTTTCTCATTAATTATGCAAATTAAGTCTTCATTTGCATAATCGATATCTGCCTGTATTTCTGCCGTTCTTAATTACATATGTCACAAGCTTGAATAGTCCTATCATGGAATGCAGCTGATTAATAGAATTTCCTCATTAATTATGCAAATTACATTAATATATGCATAATTATAATATTATTATGTTAAGCATCACTTCAGCTACCTACATGCCAAAAATCACGACGATCCATCAATCGGTTCTAGAGTTATCCGCCTTTAAATATTTTTCAACTAACGCCCCTGCAGTTTCAGAGCAAGCCGCTGGGGAGACCAAACTCACATCACTTCTTCCCCAGCACAAGAGCTACCTACCATCCAAATTTCGTCACCCTAGCATGTCTAGATCACGAGATATCAAAACCGGAATTTCAGCTGCAGTACCATAACAAGCAGCTAGGGGGCCCAAAATTTAATCAGTTCCACGTCTCATGAAGACCTATCCACCTACCAAATATCAAGACAATCCATTTTGGCCTTCTTGAGTTATCGTGCTGACACACACACACACACACACACACGAACGCCTACGAAAACATAACCTTCTTGGCGAAGGTAATAAACAACCATGGTTTCAAGGTTCCAAGTAGATTGTAATTTGTCCTTTCCGGTATATCCTAGCCTGGGCGGCCGCCAGGACAAGTAGTCAAGCAGACGATGTTCAAACAGGTATCGGGAGCCGGCTAGAAACAGCTGTTCCGGTCTCATTATCTTGGCGGAGTTTTCGGCCTGAGGGTGTCCGTCGTATATACACACTGTGAAAGAAACTCCGGTCCGAGACCATATTGGCTCCACAGGACAAAGGCTAACCTTTGAACCTCGCTCGGCCTTGGACTATACTAAGAATAAAAGGGGATATTTAATCTACTACAGTACCAGTTTAGGCGCCACGGTTTACGACAGTGCACTGTAAATTGTTTCGAGTTTACAGTTTGTGTCTCTGTACGAGTTACTACTTATACAAAAGGTGTCAGGATTCTAGCATGACAACTTTAAGAACTCCATGACGAAAAGCACCTCCCCCGCCCCTTTGATATAGAACGGAGCCCTTTGCTCTCTGTTGACACAGGGAGTAAATTTGCTTCAGTGGCGACAAGCGGTTACGTGTAGTGCGATCGAATTCTCAAGATGACAAGGCTTGATCGACAAGATCTGTTCCTCCTGATTTCAAGCAATCTAGTTACAGAAGAACTTAGGAATCTTCGTAACTATGTTGCTGGTGATATTTTAGCGGAAGGGTTCGTCGAAAAAGCTAACGCTCACGAGATCTTCAAACAGTTGGAAAAAGAAAACAAGTTGAAACTGGGAGATCTTTCCCTTTTGGCAGACATCTTGAAAAAAATCGGGAGACATGACTACGCTAAAAAGGCGGAACAGGTTGCTGCAGATGAACAAGAAGGTACGTTACTATAAATATAAGTTGAAGCGAATTTTTAGTGGCAGGATTGTTGAACAAAGGGGCAGACGTTGTATGTAAGGTTGGTTGAACACGTTGAACTCGTTGCAGTCAATTAGTAATGTTTTTACCCCCGCGACACCAAGGGAAAGTAAGGTTCTAAATTAGCTTTTTGATGCTGGGACTGGAACTAACAACAGTACGGTTTTATCTTGAATCAGGAAAGCACATGACTGTAACGGTTTACATGTCATGATGTTAAATAGTTTGCATTTAATGTAACATGAATAATGATAAGATGCCTGAGGTTTAGTGTTACTTGTTAAGACTAAGGTTAAGTGCTGTTGTGTGGTGTTTATTGTAACACTAGCCGCCATAACACTACCGATGCTGTCTTGGTTAGATACAAGTAGCCCGCGCAGAAATGTGCTTGATCAATTGAATGGAAAGAAAGTAAAACTATAGTTCGGCGACACCATACCTCAATGACAAGTTTAATGCTTTTGTAAAGTTTATGCATTGTAAAGACTACATGTAAAAGACACTTTAGCAAATATTGTATGCAAATTATTTACATGGCCCCTGCCTAGTGTCATGCAACACACTGGTGAAATCCTCAATATTTTGCATGGACAAGGTATGATCTAGTTGGTTACATGCAAGCACGACCTCTCACATACCTTTGTCAAATCATGTTAACCATCCAAACTAATTATACATTTTTTCACTGCGATTAGGCGAATTATAAGAGCTCCATTTGCATATGTTATCTTTAGTTGATCATTTTTTCCACCCAATGACAGGATTTCCTTAAAAATGATACTCTAGCTTTTCCTTATAAATTATGTATATGTGGTCCTCATTTGAATCAATTATGTTTTATGACATGATGCTAACCTTCACTGAACTTTCAATTATGATAATCAGTAAATTCTCAGCAGTTACCAGTATATAATGGTAGCAATTTTACATAAATCATGCAAATTTGCTCTTTTACATAATCAAAATCCGTCCTGCCGTTCTCAATTACATATCATGTAACAACCGACAGACAGACAGACCGACAGACAGACGGACAGAATGACATACAAACGCAACTGAAAATATAATGACATGTCATGGAGGTAATCATGGTTAGCATAAAAGAAATTACTTTTATCCAAACTTCACTGAGCAGGGGTACCTAAAAGACGGTTTGCATGAAAGGATTTCAATGTTTTCATGTTTATCGAGCCGTTACGTGACTATTGTGGCTTAGTGAAAAGTAATGTATCGGATTTAGCAAAGAAAATATTTGCCTAAGGTTATTTGGGTCATCTGATCTGCTTACAAGGGCAGTACTGTTAGGATTGCATGTAAATTAAACCTGCCAATTGGTAACGGGGGGGTACACAAACAAACCTGCCTAAAAAGTTCATATCTAAGAAATTCTTTTTCACGTATTTTCAAAGGGTTACACACACGTTGTGTTTCCCTGGGAGGTTCATACAAAGACTAATAGATCAGGTATCAAGACGGCGAGTATGTGGGAAGACGTGACAGATGCATTGTTTGTTTGCTGAACTTTTGACCTGCGTAACAGAAAACGCATTGAAGATGTGTGAGTGGTGTGATGCTTACCTGATCTTAATACGCATATTGGCGTACAGAAAACGTTCACAGGACGATGCATACGGTGCCTTACTGCGTGCGTACGAAAAAGATGTCAAGGGTCTCAGTTCTATTACAGCATGCACTTCAAAACATTGCTACATTTATTACAAATATAAGGTTTATTGTTATCCCACTATGTACGTGAAATAATAAATATAAGACATGTCTTACATCAAATAGCATTTCACACAAGCGACTATTACCTTAGCCTCGACCCTAACAATACTGCTATTGTTTGTGCTATTCCAAATGTTCAGTTATGACCTCCATGGCATTCATTAAGGTTATATGTTCAGTTGCGTTTTTCTCTCTGTATGTCTGTCATTCTGTTCGTCATCAAAATTTATTTCTATGGTATGAAACTCGATATCTGCGAAATCTAAGATCATATATTTTCAAAATTCGGCCTAAATTAGGGTATAATTCCCATGACATGAGCCTCCATAGAACAACAAGGCCTGTCATCAAGATGGTGGCGAGACTTTACCCTTTCAATCTTTAGTGTTTTGGTCAAAAATTCCTTACTAGATCAAAATTCATGAGTCAAAATACCACATGTGCCCTATAGTCAGAGATTTCACGTGGCAGTAAGCGTTTGTTTTCAGCTATAATAAGCTAAGGCGGCGACACTCAGAGACTTATCATCGGGCTTCATTGTTTACGAGCGCAGTTACATGCAAACCCTGGCCAATCCGCTTTTGTTTCCCAAGCTTCGGTTGGAGATGCGCGAAAGTTTTAAACTTGTGAATTGACCGAGATGCTGTTTCCATGGTCGGACGACAAGGTTGTGGGTTGCAGGCGGTTAGAACGTCTTGACATCGGAAAAGGGATTAAAACGACGTTACTAGTTTTGCAGTTAGAAATTACCAGCATACTGCGTTTTGGGAAAATTATGGGCAAGCTCGCGACACTAAGTTTTAGCGATGTATACATGACTGATGCGTTCAAAATACATGAAAACGCTGCTGGCCTTTCTTATGAAAACAAGAAAATGTCAAAAGGTTACAGATCAAGGCCAAATGTAAACAAAACAAGCAATCATAGGCGACAATCTTCCGTGGAGTTTTATATTGTGCAGATTAGGAACAGTATCCCCCTGAGCATGCCGCGTACCACGTCCTGCCACGTCTCTTGCGGCTTGACCCACGCCCCCACGGCCTCGCCTCGCGCTACCTTTTGCAGTGTCAAGTTCCCCGCGTTCAGGTCCTGCGTGCGGTCCGGCGGCCACGATCCTGTTCTTCCTCGTGATCGCTGTCATTTTTACTACTCTCTGCGGAATCCTCATCTGACGTGAGGTATTTACTGCCAGAATCGGCAGTTTCAATGTCTTCCAACACTTGTCCAATCGTGTACGTCGCCATTTCGACGATAACACTACGAATCCCCCGCTAAAAACTCAAATAACAAATTACATTACGTAATGTTGACCTCTGACCTCCCCACACTTGCCTGCAAGCTACTTCCGGGTGCCGGGCGAAATCACATTCAGCGATATTATAGGGATGTTTCTTAAGTATGCATTGACTTCACGTGCTACGGTGAAATTAAAAAGACGTGCATCATCACGAACATAATGGCACACCACATGCCAAATTACACTGCAGAAATGCTACGTACAGAACAATGCACCTTGGCTGCGAACATCTTAAAGATTCGATTGGTACCACTTATCAGCCCCTCTTACGAGTGCTTGAAGGATCCCCCCCCCCGCTATTCCAAACAACGGGTTTTCTGGACCATTCCAATTTGCCTCAAAATATGAAATATTACATTGACCGCGAAAGCAGCAACGGCAACAAGTGTGGTGTTGAAAACACCTTGGCGACACAGCGTGTTATAGGGTAAGAAGGTGTTGTGCATTGTTGCTGTGTGCAATACTTGTTGCTAAGTGACATTTTGACTGGTACTGTTTTCCCTTTCATATCCATTTGCTTGAATAACTCCTTTCTGGCGTACACTTACTATGTCTTGTGATATCAGATCCTCGTGTTTCCCCCACAATATAAGGTCATTCAAAATCAACATTTCAATTATTCGGGTCTATCAAGTTAATTTCCGGTCGACTCTCCAACATAAAAGATTGTTTTCCCAATAGGTTGTTTCCCCTGAGCTTAATGAAGGTCATATCAAATCAACACTTCGCCATTTGAACATATGTGTAACTTGTACAAGAGGCTATGCACCACATTGACTACGTGCGGTAATGCATTTGCCACTGACGCACAGCTAGTAACCGGGAAGTGCCTGTACCACGCACACACCTGATTGATCAACGGCTTCTACAATACATCCAAACCACAATTTTCTTGCTTCACATACAAAGTATATGGCACGTCGACACTGTACCCTCACTATGTCTTGTGTTATCAGACTATCCTCGTGTTTCGATCACAATATAAGATCATTCAAAATCAAGACTTCAATTATTCGGGTCTAGTCCCTGATGTCAGATTGTCGTTCTAGTCCCTGAACAATCTATCCTAAAACTTAGCATATTATCGGGTCAGAGTTCAAGTACAGACAGCTGGCAACTGCAGGGACGACCCGTTATGTGCGCTATTGTATTATTACCTTCGCCAAGAAGGTTATGTTTTCCTGGCCGTGTGTCTGTGTGTCTGTCTGTGTGTCTGTCCGTCAACAGCATAACTCGAGAAAGCTTAGATGGATTATCTTGATATTTGGTAGGTGGGTAGGTCTTGATGAGACCTGGAAACGATTAGATTTTGGACCCCCTAGCGGCTTGTTATGGTACTGCAGCTAAACTTCCGGTTTTGATATCTCATGATCTAGACATGCTGGGGTGACGAAATTTGGATGGTACGTAGCTCTCATGCTAGGGAAGAAGTGACATGAGTTTGGCCCCCCTAGCGGCTTGCTCAGGAACTGCAGGGCTATCTGTTTGAAAATATTCAAAAGAGGATAACTAAAGAACTGGTGGACGGATCGTCGTGATTTTTGGTATGTAGGTAGATCAAGTGACGCTTGACATAATTATGCGACAATTATGCAAATCTGGATCTAATTTGCATAATTAATGTGGAAATTCTATAAATCAGGTGCATTACATCATAGGACTATTCAAGCTTGTGAGATATGTAATTAAGAACGAGAGAGACACAGGCAGATATTGGTTATGTAAATGAAGACTTAATTTGCATGAGAAAATTTTATAATTCTGTAATGATAACTGCCTGGAATTTCATACTTGTGGTCTTTGAAAGTACAGTGAAGGTGAGCATCATTAAACATAATGTATTCCTCATTTGCATAATTTATGAGGAAATGCTAGAATGGCATTGTTTGTTAATATAAGACTGTCTTTTGGTTGAGAATATGATAAACTGATATAATTCATGAAAATGAGGATCCTATTTGCACAAGCAGGGGGAATAATCTATAATTTGTCAGCCATAAAGATTAACATCATTTGGCGAAGGTATGAGATCGGGGAACTCTAGTTACGTATAATATTGAGGCTGAAATACCTTCAATTACTTCAATTTCATCTTTATCAAAACCATATGTATTTTGAGGTGCAGGAATAAACTAAATTAGAGATGGTGGTGCATCAAACAGCCTCTTATCTTAAGGAAAGTATCTTACTTTCAAAAAGCCCAGTGGCGCTGCAAGCAAAATATAAATCCAGCCCTTGGAGCGGGTGTTCCAAGGCCATTTAGCCCTTCTGCGATATATTGTCCACGCACCGGCGCAGTATACATGTAATTAAGACACTTGTCAAGTGTTGACGTAAACTTCCTGACTTCTCCCAAGGCGAACATTCCGGCAATCCCGGCCTACTCCGCCTGGGGCCGCCAACAATAGGTGCGCAAAAAAAGGAATTTTTTTTCTATTTTCTAAATATTTTCATCTCAATCGCAATACTATAAAAAATGCCTCCGCTCCTCAGGTGTCGCCAAAAATACACATTCGTGCATCATCACGGGCATTCCCGCAGACGGCGTATAAAATTGCGTGCCGATTACACACACAAAGGGAACCCAGTGTTTTGACTGCGAACAAGAAAAAAACGGCTGTTCACAACACTCCGTCAGGATGTCCAGACCTCCTTCACGGAGTAAAAAAAATGACTTCAAAAGGTTTATAATAATGTCACGCACCACGCCCGTCAACCAACATGCCGCTGCACGCCAACTTGTTTGCCGCTGCACGCCAACTTGTTGGGCGCCCGTGAACCAGCTTATAGCCAAGCTCGGCGTCATCGCCCCCAGAATAGTGGAGTCCAGGAAGCCATTTAATTGTAGTTTTTGCCGCAAAAGACACGAATGCTTTAAAAAAATGTGACGCCGAATTTTCGTTTCGTCTTGCACTCGTAGCACACTATTAACTCTTCACATTTGAAGTACACATTCCGCTTGACTTTCGACTAAACTTCTACCTCGGAATTTAGCTGATTTATATCGCATTTCTCGTAGTTGTAACTCGTCTGTAAAGCTGCACGTGTAACTACATGAGTAGTGAGTAATTAGGTGTGAATTATCTCTGCTCATTATTATCAGTAAAATGTTGAGGTAATTCACACCTAATTACTCACTAATTACTTTTGCTGTTTAGTTTTTGACTTGGTACTTTTTAGGGGTAATACATGAATGAGATCATATATACAAACAAACGTATAGAAGGAATTTCGTTTTCGACAAGGAATGACAAAATGGCACGTAGTTATATACGCCTGGGGTCAGTTTGACCTCTTACGGTTGTTTGAGGGTTAAATGGATTCAATTCTGCTATTTTGGGAACCAATGGAGCATTTGTTTTAGATGAAAGTGGACTGGGCCTGGGGTGGTTATTATGTGTTGAGATAGAGAAGTCTCTGAACCTCTTTTGTCTATTTTGTATATTTCTATTTTGTATTTTTAGGCTTTATGTTGAAAAAAGATTGATGATCCAAGCTGGTAGATAGTTTGAATATGCATGACATCATTTTATGACGCCACTTATGTTGCTATCGACAGCATACGTTTTAGTAGACCCTATTCTATAATAAACACTTTAATAAGATTCTAATAGAATAACCTAATAGTATCTACATGGCTTTAGGCAGTACAATCACATGGAGGACGACATTATGACGTCTTCTTACGTCATAATGATATCAAACGTTTTTTTTTTATTAAATATTACTCTCACACTATCGTCTGATAATTGGTGTTCATATGATATACCGTTCACAAGATCCGAGGTGGGTGGGTGAATAAGCCACACGGATACCTAAAAAGCTCAGTCTAGATAGGGTTATAAGGTGCACAAGGAGCTCTAACACTGCCGATATCTCAACAAAGAAAGGGCAAAGGAAGGTATTTGGCACCATCATGAGTTCCTTTATTAGAGTGGGAATGGGCATTACATGTACAAACTTGCCATGTTTGCCCATTTGCCAATTTTCCTTCGCCCAGACTAAGTCTACATGTATGCCCGCAAACAGTGTAAGTCATGACCAACAGAGATTTAGGAAATCTTTAGAGACCAAGGGGCGCTACGTATACTAGACAACAACCAAATCTAAATCCACAACAAAGGCCAAGAAAGATTCTGATAAAATTTTACCCAGATGGATTTTGCATTTTTATTTCTTTATTGCTGTTATCAATAATAATTATTATTTACTTATAATTTTGTGCGGGTTTCGTGTAAAATAATGCCGGACAAAGTGTGGCACTAAGTTGGTCAAATCCCTTCTCTACTTATTAACAATTTATGTTGGCATCTAGAAAATTTCCATCAAAATGCCATTCTTCGTTTCGACCTTCCAGTCTCAAAGTCCGATGGTATTACGTTTGATTAGAACTCTATCCTGATTGAGATAATATCATCTGCAATCTACAATCTCGGCGAGTTTAACGTTGAACATGTAGGGCGTATACCCTAGTATCTAGTACTAGTAGGTTACCGCGGTCTGGCCATTCTATTCAACAACAGACCCCGTAACAGCATCCAGCCTGCCGGGGAGATTTTCCGGGGAGGTTTCGCGCGAAACCTTCTCTCCGTGGCAAAAACTCCCTCGGCAGCAAATCGTCCCTCGCGGCGGCATATTACTCGCGTCGCTCACAAAAATAACGCCGACACCCAACAAGACTGCGAAGGAGGCTAAGCTCCCCGGCAGAATGCATGCTTTTACAGGAGCTGTTGTTTTTAAAGCGTCCGACTTGTGTCGGGTGAATTTGCGACACCAGCAATGTATATATTTATTGCACAAAATGGATGCAAACATACGTAGAATATTCGCATTCTCTTGAAATGGTTTAGTTCATTAATTCAAGCTCACTGAACAGGTGTTGCCTTCGGTATTTTTAATTCGTATGGTTCATTTTCACCTTACTAAGAAATAATCCATGTTTTATTATCAATATTTCTGTAGGTGCAAGTACCAGTAGGAAGAGCAAAGTAACGAAGGATGCCAAGCACACACTGTTGAAAAAAAGTAAGGGGTGTTAAGTTAACAGCTTAAAATGTCTCGTTAAAATGAATAATGTAGACATAATTCTAGAGGGGTAGTAAAATACATCTCTAAAACGGTCTGTTTCATACCCACCTATACATGAGCACAAATTTCGAATTTCCCATTTGGATTTGTTGCACAGCTTGTTTATTCCATGCCACAAGTATGGATTCTCAGATATGTGTATACCTACAGACGCTGAGTGCATTTTGAAGAAAGTTGTAGTTCTATTCCGAATGAACCGGACAAAAATTCAGATAGAACTTTCTTTCTACAAAATGCTTAATATAGAAATAAAATGGCTCATGATATAACAGTCTCCAGTTAGATCAATACTGCATAAAATCTCAATTTTGAGCATTGCAGCATTCTTGTAATTTTACATGCCTGCTACGTGATTCAATTCAACACATGCATAGCAACGTATTTACACACAGTGCTGATGTTGTATTATATAGATCATCATCAACTCACTCAGTCGACTACTTTCACCCATCCTTATATCCTAGTGGTGTATAGTGTTCAAGCAATGTGCACTGACTGTGTCTGTTTATATCTTGCAGGAAGCATTAAGGCTCCAGACGGGTTAAACGTTTCTGAAATTAAGAATGATTGTGTCAAGTTAGGATGGACAAAAGTCAGCTCGAAACAGATCAATGGCTACCGTCTGGAACAGTCTTTTGCATACGAAGGCAAGTGGATGTCTGCACAGGGCCGCAGGAAAATGTTGCCTGCTACAATCACAGAGTTCACAGTTGTCGACTTGGCGCCATATGAAGAATACCACTTCTGTATTAGATCAGCCTTAGACAGGAGAGGCGAGCTTGTCCTTAGTGAGAGATCCGTACCACTCTACGTTGTAACCAGAGAGCAAAGTGAGTATTCTTTATAAGGTGTTGCAAGGTTTTTGGGATAAACGCGTTAGACAATACAGTAAAAAGGAACAAGATATTGCAATTCACTCCCTTTAAAATATGTAACGGGAAATGTAATCATTTTCGCTGACCTTTCTTCTTGTTCTTTCCCAGCATGTCATCTTTATCAAAAGATTCCGCGTTTTTTTTTTTTTGGGGGGGGGGTAATCCTACTTGTGAAATACGCCTAGCGCAATTTATACAGACCTTTGACATAATTGCAAGGGTGTTTGTGTGGGATCTCATCACAGTATCTTATCTTAGAACTTGTTAATCGTACTAATTGTTCTTATTAATCACTAATAGATCAACCATACCCACCAAGAATGATAAGGGTGGCAGACCGCACACACGTACATATCTCTCTCGTTGACATGGAAAGAGCCTGAACCAGCCCCTGATGTCAACCCAGCCTCCTACGAATATGTCGTTGAAATGTGCATCCACGGTAAAGACAGAACGCTGAATTCATGGACAGAATACTGCAGAACAACACAACAGAAGTGCACAATAAATGTTCAGCATAATGGTGACTACAGATTCCGTGTTTTGACCAACAATAGCGAACACAAAATCAGCAGCCTTCCAGAAGAAATGGGTAAGAAATATTCGCAAATGTTTGTGTAAATCGTCATATATATATATATATATATATATATATATATATATATATATATATATATATATATATATATATATATATATATATATATATATATATATATATATATATATATATATATATATATATATATATATACTTCTATCTACCTATCTATCTATCTATCTATCTATATAACTATATCTATATATCTATCTATATAACTATGTCTATATATCTATATAGATAGATAGATAGATGGATAGATAGATGGATGGATAGATAGATAGATAGATAGATAGATAGATAGATAGATAGATAGATATAGATATAGATAAATAGAGAGATAGATATACTTCGTCATCATAAAGTATTCCTAAATTACATGGATACTACATCTCTTTTTAGGGGATCCAGGCATATCTATCAAGGTGGAGGCACGATCAAGAGGGTTGATACAGTTTCTCAAAGCACGATGGCCTTTCTTCACAAACCCTACTAAGGAAGAGACAGGTTGCATTGTCTTCATCATCTCTTGCCACGACCTGGATGGTCTGCGTGAACTGTGGATGAACTATAAACTTGGAAAAGTCAATAGATTTCTGGAGGACCTGTTTGCTCGACAGGCCAGACTTTCCTCCGTAGAAACGGATACAGACCTGGAGATTAAGATTGACAAGGGGGATTTTTACGCCTGCCGTCAACATCTGCTTCTAACCAGCCCTATAGATAATGGTTATCGGATGGTGAGACTTGGAGGTCCCAAGTTCGAAGGTGAATGTTTCTCTTTTATTACATGAAATTTTGGGTGCGGAAGTATTATTTTGTGTATACACAAGTATTATTGCGGAAGTATTATTTTGTGTATACACAAGTATTATTGCGGAAATATTATTTTGTGTATACACAAGTATTATTGCGGAAGTATTATTTTGTGTATACACAAAATAATACTTCCGCACCCAACATTTCATCTATAGATGATTGAAAATGGTTTTGTCTAGACGTAATCAGCAAAATCAGAGAATTGCATACGTCTTGGTCTTAAATGTCTATCTGAAATTTGTTTCTTCTTTATGTTTTTGGCACACTGTTATTGTCATTTTGCCAAGAAGAAAAGCGTGCAATGATAGCGCTGTTTTTTTAAATAAAAAAAAAACTTTTTACGAATGTATAATGACACGGAAAGCCAACTTTCAATGCAATAACAAGAATGCTATAATAATTCATACTTGGTAACGTTAAACAAAAAATATGTAATGGCATCTTTGTATGATTAATCATTAAGCGTATTATGGTATTACAGTGAATTTGATTTATTTGGGTTTAGCATCAACGGCAGGCAAACAGCAGGGCCTGAGTGAGGATTTCCCAGTCTACTGTAAACCGATATCTCACAAGGCAACCTGCCCACAACTGGACTTCATGGACCCTGCAGTACCTATGGACCAGCTAGGTAAGCATAATAAGTAATAATTCAGATGGGGGTTCCCAAAAATTTCTATAATCCTTTCGCTAACTATGAAATTATTATGATAATTTTTAGAGTGCAAAATATTCAATTACTTCGTGGGAGAAAATGGACTGACTTGCTTAATGCCTTGATTATGCAACTAAGAAACTCTTTTGCATGCATTATATCACTTGATAATATTTTCCACCCGGAATTAATAAAGAGAGCTACTGCTGACTGTTGCAATTACTGTATCGCAAATTATTTCTTAAAAAAATTATGCTTATTATGATCATTTACTAAACATGAAATTTCCGGAAGCTACTACAAAGTTTTATAGTATTATGTATAGTATCTTTTCATTTAGAAAATTATTTGTTTAAAAAATTATGTTTTATCACAGTCATTGACTAAACATGAAATTTCCGGAAGTCACTTCAAAGTATTGAACTATGGTATCTTTTTATTTACTAAATTATGGTATCTTTCAAATTACATTTCATGTACACAATGGATATCTTCCTCTCGTTCTCAATTATATATTGCGAAGTTTAAAAAAAGAAGAGAATAAGAACCATGAACTTTTGTTTTAGTTCAAATACAGGCGGCCCACAAGAGCATGTCGGTCGCAATAGAGGAATTATTGGATGCTGAACACACAGCAAGGAGGCAATACCATGGGCGGAAACAAACGCCAGGGAGGGAGATAGATCCAGGGACAACGAGATACCAAGTTATGAAGACGAACCAAGAGGAGGCGAAAGGCGAAGGAAAGAAGACAGACCTAGGAGCGGAAACAGACCCAGAGATGAAGACAGACTCAGGGATAAAGAAAGAGCCAGGTAAGGGAACAGGCCAATGAAACAGGATAGAACAGAGGAACAAGGGTTACTTTATAAAGATGATGCAGTCTGGAATGAAAGGTAATTCTAGTTCGTCCTGCCAAAGGAACCGAATACGACCAAGCAATTAATTCTTATGGATATGTTCGACAATCACGGTGGTCAAATTTTGAAGATTTGAATAATCCCATCCACTTAATCACGCGGCCTGACATGTTTGCAATCGTGGTATTTCAATTGCAATTTACCTAAAAATGCTTTAAATTGTAGACAAGACAAAAATCTCGATTTGTGTCGGACGCTTTTTAAAAAGATGGTGGCATTCAGGAATTTTTGGCCTTGGCAGTTGAAAAATTACATTTTTTGCAATTTTTGTCGGCTTTAGAAACACTTAATATTTTAAATTAAAAAAGTTTGTCCGGCTCAAACCTTTTAAGGTTAAAACTAAAATTAAAATTTTGTCATAATGTTTAATGAAATGCAAAAACTGAGGATTTGGGGGTTTATCTAGAACCGGTTTAAATCAGTTGTTTGGATAATATCGATATACATTTCAGCACTGTAACCAAAACAAAAACATTTGACGTACATGCAGTGCAGATTTATGACATTTGTAGAAAAGATTCCACGTGAATCTGTTTCTTATATTTAAGAACATATTTAACGTAGCGTGGAACCCCGGTAACCTGGTTCCTATCCGCAATTGGAAACTTTACCGTTGAATTTGACCGCCGTGAATGCCATACCCATATATATGTCTTTAAAGCACATCTAACAAAGGTTGTCATTAGTTTTGTCTTGTGTACCTAAATAAAGAAAATGAATAAAGTAAAATTTCTTCAAGTAGCATTAAGCAAGTGCAATTTTTACAGACCTTAAAATTGACCCACCTGTCACGTCTCAACACAAGAGGGCTTTCCCCTATGAGGAAGAGTCTATCCAGGCAAGAAAACGCTTCAAGGCCTACTCAGATCTAGATGTTGCAGGGCCAAGTGGGTCTGGGGAACAGCATCTGGAAACAAAGGCTTCTAGCTCAGAAGGTTTGAATCAATCTAAATTTAAGTGAACAATTATGGGAAAACTTTTCCAGGCTTGTTTTGTTCGATTCTGTGGTATGCAATTATAATATGCTTTTAAAACTATAAGCTTTGATCAGACTGATTAAATATCCATAAACATCTTCAACAACTGCAAGAGTTTTAAGGCCTCGCCCCTCCTTGTCTTTGTTTAAAAATTGTAACCGAGATGGTATTCAGCTCCTTTATGAAAAACTAACAGACTATTAAGAAGTGGAGCCAGGCATTCTCGCTACAGACGCACGCACGGGAGGCTAGCGTCCAAAAAATCTGTAGCTAAGACGGGGAGGGGGGTGTTCATCAACTCCCCTTCTTTATTTATAATAAGGAAAAAAGAAAGCACTACGATGTTGTACCTTGTACAGTTGTTGTACCATCTATCTAGGACATTTGCACTTTTGGCATGAGATTAGCGTATGTACAAATTTTACCATTCAACCTCTCCTCTTTCCAGGCGCTAAAGGTCATCCTGCAGATGACAGTGACCACAGTGTGAACGACAGGATTATGGACCTAAAGCACAAGTTCTTTACTGAGGATGTGTTAAAAGACCACAAACTTTTTCAAGAAACAGTTGATCGCTTCAAGTTAGAATTAAGGGCGATGTTAGAAGGTTGGTATATGAGCCTAAAACATGACGGGCTTGAGTTTATTACCACTGGGAAAGGGGGTATCCCTCCAAACAGGGATCTGTTTTAGTCATGGGTGTGCTTTTGTACCTTGCATATCAGTGGATTGTGGTTTGAAGTCCTGATGACGGATCTGGAGAGATGTGTCATTGATTATTACCATCGCCAACGAGTGTTACGGCTAACCGAATAGCCGAAGTCATAAAAACCTACATGTTTCACGGACGCGGGGGCATCCAGAGTCCGTCAATGAAGGGTTAATACCCTTCCCCAGGTGATTAACCCGAATAAACCACCAAGTGAGCGTAGCGTCCGGGGTGGTATATGCGGTTGTTATAGCACCTGACCATTAATTTTCTCAGCATATACTTCAAGAACAAGGTGGGGCATTAACGTATCATATAGCCTATCCAATAACGCATCCACAACCACCTGCGATATCTCTTCTACGTGGCACTAAGTTACTTCGCTCTCCATCACTTTGTTGCTTGATTAATATTTACACCTGGACTTAAAAATGTTATTGTGCTATCACAAAGGTTTAAATCATATAGTGCTACAGAGTTTGTTTTACATACAGCATTTCTTTGTTGGAAAAGAAATTCTTCATTTTTATGCTACGTGCTTTATAAGAAAAAAATGTTTTACAGCCGAGAACAAAAAGTTGCTAAGTGAAGAACAGTCATCAGATGATGATAAAGAAGAAGATGATGACGATCAGCCTACAGCCCCTAAAGGGAAATCAGGTTAGTTTGGCGGAACTTGTATGATCTTCAGTATTTCTAATAAAATAGCTCTAAAAATCTCATTGTAAGCCTTCACTATTCTTTGCAGTTCAATCAATCAATCAAGCCCTAGGATGGATTTGGGATTTGCACTGAATGCTGTGCTCGATGAAAGCAAGATCAGATAGCTGATGGCATTCCAAACAGCACATAAATGTATGTGCTACACATATATGTGTTACATGTGTACAACCAGATCCAGACTCAAGAATTAATGTGAAGCTCCTTCTGTGGTACTGACCTTGTTGAATTGGGTCTGCCTAAATACCTCAACCGACCTCAACCGACCTCAACCGACCGCGTAATGTGTTAATATGCAGTATACATGGGCTAACAACCTTTTCTAACGGTCTGGATACATTGTCTATGCTTGTATGAATGAAATTTAAGAGCATAAAGGGATCGACATAAAACTATTGAAATAAATGATCTGTCTAGCCACCCCCCAAGGTTCGTTGGTTCCTCCTTGAGGTCAATGGAGGTCAAGCCGGTATGCGTACGTGCTTTAGCAGCTTGGATGTCAGGCTGGAAAACACTCGGTATATAGCTATTATGACTTGGTTATGATAGTATTTGTGCTTTACTATGATCTATAAACCAACATCTTTGCGTTCTGTTGCCTGTTTAAAGCAAAATGTGTCCAGAGATTCCCCATGCAGGCCCAACGATGGCCCAACGATGAATAACTTTTAAAAAACTGGTAAAATCGTCAGAGTTACAGAGTTTTTCCATTTATACAAGCATAGACAATGTATCTAGAGCGTTGGAAAATGTTGTTGGCCCATGTATACTGCAAATTAACCCATTACGCGGCCGGTTGAGGTCGGTTGAGCTATTTAGGCATACCGGTACCACCCATTAGCTGAAGTAAGGGTAATTACACGAGCCATTTGACTTCAGATTTTTTTATGGGTTCACCACACCACGAAGTGGTGGTGAACCCATATTGCTTTTTCTGATGTTTCTTCTCCTCCTTCTCCTTCTCCTCCTTCTTCTTCTCCTGCCATTTTTTAAATGGATTCAGCTTCTTCATTTTAGGGCCTAAGGTCCTGAAATTTGGTATGGAGGTACAGTGGGCAAATACCCCTAGGCGTTTTTTAAATTTTTGTGATACGGGCTTTTAGAATGGTTTTATTTGAGTTTTTTGGCTGTGTTATAGCAAATGTATTACTGTGTTAGTGTGCCTTGTTTACCACGTTTGGGCATGAGTCATCACAATGGAATGCAGGGCATCAACCAATAGGCATGCAGCTTTCCTCTATTCTTCTTGCTGATTGGCTGTTGGGATTTAACTTGATTAACAGGCTGCACAGAGCATTTCCACCTGCACAGAGCACTTCTTGCTGATTGGCTGTTGGGATTTAACTTGATTAACACCTGCACAGAGCATTTCCATACTGACAGTATGTCTTTATTCAAGTGTTTTGGTAGGTATTTCAAGCTTTTCTGCTCCAGCATTGGAATGCGGGGCATGAACGTTTTTTTATTTTATTTTGAAAATCAACAGTTTGCATTATGCAATTAAAAATCCTAACCAATAAAGTAGGGAATAGCTATCCAACTGTTGTTTTAGTTGTATGTTACTTCATATTATAGTTATATCAATGTAAATCATTGTTTTCCCTTGTGTTTCTCATTCTTTCCCTGCCATGTCGTAAAATGTGGTGAACCCATCGCTGTATTTGCTCCAAAGCAAATATTGGCCTTTCTAGTTTTAGATGTTTTACGTCAGACAGTTTTATTATACTTATATAATGAATACAGCTCAGGTTTTCCCATCACAGTGTTGTTTACATCCATTTTATTCTGTTGCTTAGCTGAGAAGATAAGCACAAAACAATCATCTGATAATGTTAAAGAAGAAGATGATGAGAATGTGGCTACGGTGCCAGTTGCTGGGAAATCTGGTAAGGTTTGCAACAAAGTTCTCCATTGACTTCATTCAACAAAGTTCACAATTGACTTAATACGTAATACATGTAGGTTGGTGTTTTTTGTTTGTTTTATATAGTACAATTTCCGTTATCACAATTTTAAAGCATACAATGTACCTTGCTGTAACTAAACAGGGCAAGATGGCATACCGAAAGAGGACACACACAATGTTTGTGAATAAACTTCAGCAAATTCCTTTAAAATATCTTTAGATACACGGATCCAAACAATCCACTGTCAATTTCAGTTTTGAAAAATTCTACTTTGGGCTGACATAAACTCATTAACCCTATTCAGACCGGGCTTTTTGGGACAGGCTCAGACGGGGGGGGGGCTTTTGAGGCCCGCTCCCTGTAACTCAACAACCACTTAGCGTAGGGCTACCAAATTTTCAGCGAATGGTGTAGTAATGAAATTAATTCATAATAACAATTTTTGTGTAATTATGACGCCATTATGACGTCATTTATATGATTTTGGGGGTAAGACCGTCAAAAATTCTTTTTCCGTAAAACTTAATGGAATACAACCAAACTTTAACAAAAAGTGTCTATGATGCAATATTAATATCTGCTAATACTTATGTTGCCCTTGGCAACAACACTGACGATGACGACGACGCAAGTTGCTAGAAAATCAGATAAGATTTGCAAGAATGTAAAGTGCTTCGTTGTCTTAGAATAAAAAGTAGCCGTAGGTTTGTGTTTTGTGCTAACCCTCAACAGTACACCTTCCCGGACTGATTAATCTGTACACCTGGGGTCCGCGCGGACCCCAGAACAGTTTTTTGCTAATTTTTAGAAATTATCAACATGCTACCAGCTGAATTGTTTTACAAACTGATGTGGGAACCTCTGTGTCCACATTACATGCAAAAATCATACATTTTTAACGTTTTCTATTTTTTGGTGAAGAAAAGAAGACAAGAAGAAATACCCGATTTCAGACTGAAGGGGCTTTTGAGGCCCAACTTTGACCTCAGATAGCGGCTAAACGGCTTGCGCTAGAAGTATCAAATTTGGAAACCTATCCTAAAATGTCTCTGGAAAAAAGTTCATATTAGTTTAATACTAGTAAGTTGATGTTTTTTTGTGTTGCCATGGCAACGGGTTTCTAGCAGGCAGTTTTTTGAAAATAGAAGTAATTTTGGTTTAGACATAAAAATTTTATATTAAATTACACTTCTTTTCCAACATTAATAGCATCTTACATAATTGAATATAAGTTAGATCATTTAATATGCATAGAATATGCTAATTTGATGACGTCATTGGGCAAAATCCAATATGGCGGACTATATTATTAGCTCTGACGTCATATGACGTCATAATTACACCAAAGATTAAAATCTAATTCTATTACTACACCATTATCTGAAAACTTGGTAGACATACGATGAGTGCATAAAATATATAAAAACGGAAATAAGGTAATGTATAAGAACGCTAGTGTATCCATTATGATCGAAAGCCGGCTGGGGTCCGCGCAGGACCCCAAAAGAAAATCAGAAATAATTTTTTTTATAAATGGTAGAAACGGAGTTTTCTGCACTGTATTGAGAGACAACTTTGTGGGTGACAATTAGCTAAAATTTCAGAAAAAAAATCTTTAGAAACAAAAAAGATATTACAGAATATATAGTGCTGGGGTCCGCGCGGACCCCAGGTGTACTGTTTAGGGTTAAAAGCGTAAACGAACAATTAAGGTATTTCATTCATTGAAATTCCTTATCCTTTTCTGTATAGCTCACCTACCCGTGTACCTGAATCTAGGCCTGAATCTAGGCCTACAACCAGCTGTAAGTAAGACAGAAGCAATTTATGAAAGTGTCATCGGACGGATACTGGAACTGGAACGGGCACTGTTTACCATGCAAGGATTAAATGACCCAAAAAAAATGGCCCAAAGGCGGAAGAAAACGGAAAAATTGTTTCTGAGACACAAGGCTCTATTGAAGGATGCTATAAGTGGATAGTTGGTAAACAGAATTACCTGACTAGGGCACACAACCTCACTCCGCATACTCCACATGAAGTAAAATAGCCATATCAATACCGAATGATCTATAGAGTAAATTTAATTAATGATGGCTTTCGCATTAGAAAACATTGTCAGATGACTTATTTATGATCAAGAGATCTACTTATGATTAGCACTCCATGATATTGTACATATAGCATCCAAGGTAATTATTTTAATACCAACAAAATAACCTCTGTTTTCTGTCGTTTGAATATTACCAACAGCAGCTATCAGTACCAAAAACATTTGCAGGTAAACAAATAAATAGAAGTAATTTTATGAGGCAAATACAAGGATTATAAGATGTAATTAATTATATGTATTTCTATGACTTGCATCCTCGAAATTTACAGTAAACAAGAGCATACATTTAGTGCTCGGTTTTAGCTTTAAAACATTTTCTTAAAGTTTTATAAAAGGAATTATTGTTAAATCTGTTGACCTTCTCTTAAGGATTAAAAACAAATTCATCAGTTTGTTGTTGTGGGTCTTTGTATTTTTTATGTTCTGCGGTTTAGCTTATGTCATGTCTGAAAATGGAGTAGCAATACTATACATTGTTCCAGGAACAGTAAAAAATTGGTGAGCACTGGATTTTAAAACTTATGAAACTTTTGAAACTACCAAATGTTAAATTTCATCATTATCATCATCATCATTATGCCTGGCGTCTTTCTGTCTGAAGGGAGAGAGTCAACTCGGTCCGGGCAAGACGCCCGGCATGATGATGATGATGATGATGAGATTTGGGATTCTTAGCGGAGGACGTTTCGAGCAACATTCCTGAATGTGTAGACGTAGAATTGCACCTATGACTATGACCACTATACACAAGGAGGAAATTGAAATTTCGTTGTAATCTCAATAGAATAGCCTATGCTTATTATTTGATATCGTGATACATTAGATCCTTTGTGATAGGCCACCAATTTCCTGAAATTTTTATGGCTTCGCCACACCACGATTTTTGGGACCAAGAGCCCTGGTACTAAAACTAAATGACCTAAAATTTGGTATGGGGATACCGTGGACACATGTCTACAGAATGACATCCAAGCTTTTGACATACGCCACTTAAAATGTGTAAAATAGAGCTTTTGGCTATTTTTTGACAAAAAGTACATTTTTTGCTCCTGTGCCCTAATATTAAATCTGAATAACCTGAAATTCGGCATGAAAATACTTTGGACACATGTCCAAAGAATGTTATTCACACTGTTGACACACTTTAAAATTGTGTGAAACCGGGCTTGTTGGCTATTTCCAGTCCAAAAATGCTCCTGTGCCCTAATATTAAAACCAATTGACCATCAATTTGGTATGGAAGATCCTTGTACAATTCCTTTAGAACTTTTTTTCGCTTTTATCATTTGAAACAATGTAAAAATTCTGTAAAATGGGATTGATTTCTTTCCTAATTTTGACCAAAAATGTACATTTTTGCCTACTAAGCACTAATACGAATACAAAATTCTGAAATTCAGCAGAAAGGTAGCTTGGCACAAAATGCTTAGACTATAGTGTTCACTATTCACATTTAACCCTCTAAAATACGTTGTTTACCTTATTTTGAGTAAAACAGCGATTGCGTGTGGCTTGAAAACCCAAATCCCCAACTGACAGTTCTAAATAGAACGTTTGGGTTCTACCAGGGTTCTACATGCTCCAACAGCAGAGGGCGTTGGAAGATTCCATTGCTGCATGGGGGTATAGATTATTGGACAGATTTCATTTAGGAACAGTCCATTTGCGCGGGAGGGGATAAGTCTACTTTTGGTACGGGGGATGTGTTGACGCCATCTGCTGCATTTGCTCCCGAGCAAATGTTGGCTTTTCTAGTTTTTATTTGTCTTTTTTTTTCTATAGATAAAATTCTATCAAGGGGCAAATAAAGCAACATAAAATTCTATGGGATGGTTCATAGTCATTTGATAAAATCAAACTTCTAATGGCACAAAATCATCTACAAATGGCCTATGGGAAGTAGAATCTAATAATTTTTCATCAAATGCTAGATACCCCACAAGATATGTTATACGTTCAGAAGGGATCATTTCAAATGGATACCAGTTTGAAAAGTTTCCTGATATCATCCATGTGCTAAAAGAAACCATTCTGAAATTGGCTATTCTCAAGTCTCCATGCATATTAATTTACTAAGATCACTTTACTATCACGAATTACTATGGAAAAGGGATTAAGTGGTACGGAAACAACATATTCTAAATGGCCCTTTAAAATATCAGGCAATTTGTTTTTAATATCAGGGCGTTAAGATTAGTTTTGAGATCTCCACCAGACTCTTGAGTGTGCAGGTTAAATAAATAGTAGGAATCGGCCTAAGAAGGCAATTTGGACACTGTATGGCTGGCTAACATTGTTACATTTATTGGCCGATTTTTACTATTTATTCAACCTGCAAAGGGGTCTGGTGTTGACTAGCATAAGATGCACAGTTTTTTTTACAAAATGTGGTTGGCTCTTGTTATTGAATTAGATTGCAGGAGCTTGGCAGATGTATCTCCTGCTACTGTGGCATCCAATATCGTCCCACATAGGAAAACCAGTAGCACTCGACCAGTACTGGACGCAGTTCCTAGAACACCAACTCCACATTTTCGGGATACATGGCTCTCCTGGGCACCATGCCTAAAGGAAACAGAATACAGAATGATATATTTGGAAATATCCTAGCATATACGCATTGTTCAGTTACCTATGTTCTTCTTCACCTCCTCTTTATTTCCTGGAATTTTGTTAAATGGATCTAATTTCTTCATATATTTTTGTGCCATATTATTCTGATGACAGTCACAGTGGTCAAGGAAAAGTTGGTCCTTGTGTACCATTTGTGTTTGAATAATCTTATAATTATGCATTGTACTATAACATTGTTAAGTTATCTACGTGCCATTTATAATAAACAGGATTTGGATAATGCATGTGTAGC